AGAGGCTGGAGTGCTTCCACATATGCACAAAGGATCCTGTAGAGTCTCTGGTATATGGGGAATTCTCATTATATAAAGAGTAAAGGATGAATAAATAAGTATATATGAAGACTAGTATTATCATATGGATAACTGTTGGCTGCCTACCTAAATTTCTGTGGACATCTCTTCCACAAGAAGGTTTTTCCAGGTGTCTGTGTAATGCTAGATAAAAATGCAAGCCCATGTCTATGGAGAATGCTTGATTCATAAGTATATTTTCTTCATCTGGCAAACTGACTTCTGTTTATCACTGCAAGGGATGTCAGCCCAGCCCCAACCAGAATCTCGATGATTTATTATAACACATTTTTCTCTGTTATTGTTGGGCTCACCCAGGTGCCAGAACCTGAAAGGGAGAAAAGAGCATCATGCCATTTCCCACAGTGATGCTGGGAAAGAGAAAACAAGAGTAAGCAAGAAGAGGATGCGGTGGGAATTTGTGGAAAGCAGATTCAGGTGTGTACAAAACAACCGTTCTCCACCACCCATGTCTGACATGTCCCTGGAAAACAGGGTCCACTGCACTCAATATTCTCTTAACTTGTTACCTAACTGTTCTCCCAGAACACATCCCAGAGCCTACTTCATCCCTAGGTCTTGGTATCTGGGACTGTCATTCCATGTGCTTATTTATTGCTGAAAAGGTCTCTCCTTATTCTTGTGTTTTAATAAAGTTTTTTTTCCATTTTACAACTCTTATTTTAGAAACTGAAGAATTATTTAAAATATCTAGATAATCTACGTATTTCTATCATCTGGGACAAGAAATCTTCAATTTCTACTTTTCTTCTCTAAAGACTGAGAATGAGAATAACATGACTACCTATATCTCACAACAGAAATCAGGATAGAATATGGGAAGATACTAAGATATCAGAGTTTTTAAATAATTATATAAACACAACACATAACAATATCAGAATGTGGGATTTTGGTTATGAGAAATAATCAGTGATGGTCTTGACATTAATTTTTATTATAACTATGTTAATGAAAATTGGAGAGATTGCTCAGAAATTAAATGTGCTTGTGCTTTTCCAAAAAATGTGAGAGATCTGTTCCAAGCACACATATTGGCACATTCATACCACAAGTAACCCTATATCCAGGGAATCCAACACTCTCTCCTGGGCACCATGGGCACCAACATAAACATGGCACACACTCACAGAGAGACACAGATGTACACACAAACAAAAATAAATTAAATCCTATTGTTAAATATATAGAGAGACTGAAAGCATAATGAAACCCACCATGGTGTAGCACCTTGGTTGGGTGCCCTGGGTACTTATCATCCTACACTCTTCAAACTCAGTTTCCTCATCTCTCCTGGAGTATCAGTGACATGTGTCTCACAGGACTCCTTGATGAGTACATGGGGATAAATAACTCCATCCCCAGCACTCACACCAGGAGTGAGCTGTTTTAGTTTCATAACCAGCAGCTGGAACACCCTAAAGTCTTCTCATGCTACAGGACCCAGGACTCCTCTAGGTAACTCTGGACTCACGTGGCACTTTCATTGTATGGTGTCTGATCAACCCAGCGCCACTGTCGGTGACCTGCATCCAAAAGACCAATATAATAAGCAGCTTTAGGATCCAGGATCTTGGTGATGAAATCCTAAGAGGAAAGAAAGACACAGCATTCAGCCTGGATGGAGTGCTTCTTTTTCTGTTATACAATTTTTATAAGATCTTTTGAAAATTATTTTAGCTATACAAAATTATAGGAACAATATGATGCATCTATGGAAATACATAATAATCAAATCTCAGTTCATCTCTATAGGCCCTTAAATAGTTTTCAAATTTTAGATTAATGCATATTAATTATACATTTTAGAGGTACACTGTGATACTTTGACTGACTTTTTTCTGGTCACACAGAGATGAGAAGACAAAGAAAGGATCAAGGAATAGAAGAGCCACCCCCACCCCCAGGAGTGCCATCTTCTCTGGCTGACCAGGACACAAAGTCATCACTCAGAGGCCTGATTTCCATGACACTGGAATCAATCTCTGTCCATGATCATAATGAATTCTCATCTCAGACTTACTCCCCTCTTTTCTTCCCCAACACCATTCCTAAAAGTTGTGCGTGAGAGAATTTAGCAGATGTAAGCATTCTCCATTCACAACCTCAGATATTTCATTTCTGATGGTTGGCTGTGACTCTCCTGATTTGATCCCCTTTCCCTAGTCAGCTCTGCGCCCTCCTCTGTTAGGCAGTGGGTACTACAGGAAGCATTAGAGTGCTGAAATCACAAACTGTTCTTTCAAGCAGAAACTTTTCATCCTTCCCTCCACCCTCAGGCATTGCATTTCTGTTGCCATGGTTACCTGTGGGTTGTTCAGCTTCACTGAAGCAGGGAAAATGTGTAGAATGCCAAGGCTGAAGCAACCTTTCCACCTTCCTGATGGAAAGCCTTCTGCCACATCAGCAACACCCATGTCAACACAACTCCCTCTTAATAAAAAGAGGCAGACAGCAGGCCAGGCCCAGGCCCCACTCTCTCCCAGGATGCACCTGCTCTTCCTGGCTGTGGATCACCATCAGATGAGCACCCATACTGGAGCACTTCTCCTCACTCTCACTCCAAGATGCTGAGTCAGTGGAAATGAAGTAGCAGTGGGAACTAAATAGCTTCCAATCCTTTGGGCAACAGCTCCAGACTTTGTCTTTGGAGGAAGAAGGAAATGTAAGTGCAATGTCATAAAGTCA